ATCCATATTTGTTGCTGCTCTTTTCACAGTATCTAAGAGATGGAAGCAACATAAGTGTCCCTCAATTGATGAGTGGATAATGAAAATGTGGTTCATTTATATGATGGAGTTTTACTCAGCAGTAAGGAAAGATGAAATCATGAAATTTGTAGGTAAATGGATGGAACTAGAAACCGTTATACTAAGTGAAATAACAGAGACTCAGAAAAAAATCGACATATGTTCTCTCTCATGTGTGGATCCTAGAACCAGACTCTGATAAAATAAGTATGCAACCAGGCATAACTACAGAAACCAGGATAATGGAAAGGAAACAGGGAGGTAAAGGAAAAGAAAGAACCTGAAAGAGACGAACAGTAGGAAACAGGCCTTAATAAGGGAGATATGGATAAAAATTGGGATAGTTTAAGGGAGGGGTGATGGAAGAGTATACAAGGAACCTAGGGGATAAATGGAAAGAAGGAGCTCAAGAAAGGTAGGTCCATAGGAGAAGGGTATTAGTAAGGGAGAAAGGGGGGAAATGCGCACACCTTAAGTGGGAAAACCATGATGGAGGTGTGAGACCATGCGAGAGATAAATAATGACTGATTTTGAAAACCAGAGGGAACCATATTACTTCTATACCCTAGTGACAAATTATATACAGCAGATCAAGAAATATATGTCTAGGTAAGGTTTATCTGAGAACAACTGTTCTTTGCCCAAGATCTATCTATATGACACACAGTAATTAAAAATACCAGACTGGTGGAACTAACCTTCTTGGGTGTTTAACAGGCATACTTTGAGGCCTATAATAATTTGGTCAGAGGGACATAAAGGAGTTTTTCCTCCCTGCCCTCCTAGGTCGATTAGTTCCAGCGGACTATGAGCATCTCTTAAAATGTCCTATAATGGTGGTGGGTCACCTGTCCTCTTGATCAAGGAGGCCAAGGGGACCCCACCAGATGGACTTGAACCAGTGTCCAGTCTATAAAGAGGAGGGTCAACACAGAGGAATCATTTCCTTCATGCTTCCAAGCGAAGCCAACCATGGTTGAGCAGGATCTTTGACTTATCTTCACATAGGCAGAACTGGTAAAATAAAGGAGCCAGGGGCTCCTCCTAAGCCCATGTGCCCCCTGAGGAACAGATCCTCCAATGACCTTAAGAGTAAAAATAAATTGGTTTATCTGGGCCAACTATAT